TGTTTGTATGTTCACACTGATGTTAAAATGACATTTTCTGATTTGTGACATTACTTTTTATGTAATGCTAAAACACTGCCGGTCACTTTCAGAAGTCAGAAATTTTCCAAGAAAGAATGTGAAACAAATTGGTTATATAATTTAAATTTTTTTAATATTTTAAAATATAATTGAAATTGATTTTACACACTTTAAGCAATATCGTATCGCATATCGAATATCGCATTTTTTAACAAGGTATCGCATATCGCATTTTTCTTCAATATCGCACAGCCCTACTGTTTTTATTTCGTGGTACTATTGCTTTGTCTGTTATTACAGATCGTTTGATATGTAGAGTATTTATGCATTTTTAACCTAAATCACAGCAGCATCCATCTATGAAGGATATAGGCTGTCAAACATACACAACTGTTAGCCAATCATAGCAGTGGGTGTTTACTTCCGAGTCTACAATCCGCCACACCTATTCAAACAGAGCGTTCTGATGAGGGGGGTCAAAACAGGACAGAAAATAGCCTATTACTCCTAAATTATGATGTTTTTTTATGTAAAAATCTTGATAACATTATAACTGGACCTCAGAGAACAGTACAAAATAATTAAAAAAGGCAGTTCATGACCCCTTTAAAATATGCTGCTCTGATCCACCTGAGCCCCTAGCATCTGATGCTGCTTGTTTTCTGTAAATGTAATAAAATGCAGCAGCAGAGCAGAAATATTGCTGTTGTCATAATAGAGTATTTATTTAATTTATAGTTACATATTTTTATTAATAATTTCATATTTTCATTCATTTCACCTTTTTATATTGTAACCCACCTCAGAAAAAAAAACCTAACAGATTATCATGAGACAAATTTTAAAATAAGGAATAAAACAACATTGTGAGAGATGGTCATATTGCAATATAGAGTCTTAATGTGAGCTATAGTCACATTAAGTAATAAGTTGCAAATATGAAAAACAAATTTGCAGTTACTAGATACAGAGTAGCAATTGTGAGATATAAAATATCACTGTGAGATATTAAGTCCTAAATGTGAAAAAAGTTGCAATGGAAAATTAAGTCACAACTAAGAGAAAAAGTAGCAAATGTGAAATAAAAATTCACATTGTATGATATAAAGTCTCAGTTGTGAAAAATAGTGAAAATTTGCAATTTAAAGTCGCAATTACAAGAAACTGAAGCACATTTATAATAACATTGTGAGATAAAGTAATGGAGATATAAAGTCTGAACTGAAATAAAATGTGATTATGAGAAATTAAGTCACAATTACAAGAAATAAAGTATAACAATTTTTAACACTGAGGCAAATACGCTTTCATATGTTACAATTATTTCATATTCAAAACATAAATTTAATACGTTTATTAATAATTGTAATTTCTGTGCAAATGCATGTATGCCACATCCATGCAGCATTAAACTGTTTGTGTAAATAATTCATATTGTGGCAAAAATGTCACTTTAGACACAATATAAAGATGGCATTAAACAATGTCAAAAATCACTAAATGTTTTGCTACAGATTATGAAGCACTGACATTCTGTAAATAGAGCACTCAGTCATTCCTTTTCAAAACAGAAAAGCTTTCTTATGATATAAAAAGCACAGTTTCTCAAAGTGCACCAATTTCCTCCTACTTAGTCAATGAGAGATTGTTCTTTCCTTTGAGCATATGAGATAATTCCAAAGGTCAAAAGTTAAATCACTCTGTCCATCTTGGTTTAGTCTATTTTATTACATAATTGAGTTAGTTAATTAAATCTTGAAGGCCTACCAAGCTCTGCATCCCACATGTATGTATGAGTCTGTACAAACCGCAGTGAGATAAAAAACTTCTGGGGCACCTGAGGTGCACAGAAATGTGCACTGGTAATCAAAATTTAAATGAGAAACTTCAACCAGAAAAAAAAATACCTGCTGAAAAGGAAAAACTATAGTTGTAACAAACAATCCCCACTTGAAATATCACCTCTAAACAATGCTGCGGCCTGGCCTGAATCCATTTAATTACATCATCTTGTAGTTCCAGAGAAAAAATAAATACATAAATTAACTAAAGGGAGCGACAAAAATCAATATCCAGTTTGTTCCCCCTGCATAAAGTTGTGCGTAATTCACTCACACTTATAATTATGTGTCTTCCCTTGTCTGTTACTCCTACAGTGACTAAATTCAATAAAACTCACTCAAGGGGTGCCTATTGATTCTCCGTGACTTACACCTTTGATTTTGTTCCTGGTGACACCTTCAGTACAAGTGTAATGCAGGTGAAATTGATTTATTTTGAAGTTGCTTTTGAAGCAACTAAACAACTGATGGTTTGGCAGGCAGCATGTCACCGGCCAACTGTCAATGCTGAAACGTACATTCATCGTTGCTTTATTTGCTTGACAAGGCAGCTGCAGGATAAGGTTATTATTCTTAAAGCTTTGGCATAAAAAGGACTGAAGCGCTTTATAGTCCTTTCTATTGTTTGGAATAATGTGGTGACTAACACTGCTTAACCAGCGTGCATCACAGCGGCTCAAATCCTCCTCCTCTTCTCCATTCTGCTCCCATTACGCCACAAGCACTAATTCTAGCTTCAATTACTACAGATGATGAGTTTTGATAATGAAGTACTGGCAAATGCTAAATCGGTCTCGAATACATTCAAAAAGTACCTTTAAAGGGGTCATATGATGCGATTTCAAGTTTTCCTTTCTCTTTGGAGTGTTACAAGCTTAGTTAAAGTCACACAGATAGGCAGCATTTTTTGACTAAATCTATCTTAGATTATGTGAGGGATAATGTACATTCATTCATACAGTCATTATCACAAAATAATCTCACCCTGAAGGAGTTTATTTTGCACTAATGACCTTCTGACTGTACATTACACAGCTACTTGCCAAAATAAACAAATAAAAGGTAATTAAATATTGAACTGAGTTGAAATTATTTTATTAAATTAATTTATCTTAGATTAGCTTACAGCTTCTGCAAAGACAAACAGCCAATTACAATGTAGAAAACAAGTCGCCCAGCAACCAACAAAACACTGCACCAATAAAACAACATTCATTTAGAATAAATTGTTTAATCTGCTATCAACCTTTTTCTAGGTAACATATTTAGCTCTATTTTAAAGGGGTCATATGATGCGATTTCAAGTTTTCCTTTCTCTTTGGAGTGTTACAAGCTGTTCGTGCATAAAGAAGATCTGTAAAGTTGCAAAGACTAAAGTCTCAAATCCAAAGA